TAGTAGCTAGATGAGAATTAAGGGTTCAAATGTTTTATTAATTATCAGACTAGAGGGCTTCTAGACTGTGGCATAACTGTTAATGAAAAGAGGACACTACTTTGCAACTTAATAGCAAAACCTGTATTAAAAAATTTTTTCTTCCTAAGATAGGCTTTTCAAAACAATGCTGGGAAAGCACGCTTACATGCGCCTCACCAGCAGCCGGTGTTTGGCCGAATAGGAGCAGCTCGGTTAGTTTTCAAGTCATCTTTTGGCTTGTGTTACGCTCTGAATTAGACTGAACGGTTTTATGTTACCCGGGTTTGGACACTTCCAGTGCTGCTTTCAATATACCAATTTAATTTTTACTGAAAGATGATGCCCAAACTCATTAATCCTTAGAATATATATGACATCATAGTATTGAAGACATATAGCAGTGTTTTTTCTTTTATCAAGGTATGCAATGAAACAAATCTCGAAATCAAGATGGTTTTTCTGGAATATTTAGTTGCCGAAGCTTCACTGTTTTCTGTACTGGATGCGGTTATCTAGCATACTTTTGATAGAATATTTTTGTAAAATCATTTGTTCTAATCTAAGCATTTATCATTATATGCAAAAAGATTTCTTGATGAGAATATTATAGACGGTGCATGTTTTTGACATTAGCATTTTATTTGGATGACTAATCTTGCAGATGTGAAATTTTAATGAATTATTCATGAAATTGCTTTCCTCTGAAATTTTAGTTTGCTCTTAATGCTACTTATTAAACATTTTGTTTTTTTTTTTCCTGTATAAAATTTGATGAAGAGAAATAAGGGTGTGCTTCCTCAGGAGAAAAGGTAGCCTCTATGTTTTCAGCGTTTTCCAGTTCCCTAAGTGGAGACTTAGCACTTGAAATCCTGAGGATGAGAGCTTCAGCCCTCTGTGATGATGGAAGCTTTTAGTTAAGATTGATTTTAATTCTGTGTTGGAAGCAGCTGGTGATACACCGAAGGCATATGCCTAACATACAAGATCAGCAGGTCAGAAGGGGGAAAGAAACTTAGGCTGTCGCGACTTTTTACTACCAGTGTGAACAACCAGCATTTTTATTGCATTTGAGAATGCTATCATGTCAGTAATGAGTACTGACTACACAACATTTTTTTTTTTTTTATTGTCTGTATCCACAGACATGGAATGATGGAATTACAGTTGATGTCAAGGAATGAGTTAGTTTCTTTTATGCCTTATCAAAACAAAACGAAACTGAAAAAATTCTCGTTCCTGGCAGCACATATCCACGAAGCACCGTGCGCACACTCAGACTGGACCATCTTCCTCGAGGCTTCTGGGTAGCAGAGATCGTGCGAACCACACTGGGCCCATAAAATGCCTTTAGAATAGTTAAGTCTCATTCTCAGGATAAAAAAGCAAAGCCGACATTCAAAAACATCCAAAATACCAAGAGGGACTACCATGAACCAAAAGGTACCCCAAAGATTCAAAATCCTTATAAGCGTGTTCTTCTTTTACCCTTGGAAACGGAGCTCAACTGGAATGTGGAAAGGAGAGGAAATTTTTTTTTTAATTTTTTTTCTTTCATGATAAAATAGCTAGTGATTTACATCCATCAGATTTGGGGTGCAGAATCCAAGGTATTCTTGACTAGGTGTGACGGAATGCTGGGAATAGTGTTTGAGCTGTCCCAAGGGCGTGAGGCTGGCGGTCCCTCTGCACGTACAGTAGCCTTGATGCTTCATCTCACGGCTGGTTCACTGCGGGCAGCGTCACTCTCTTCCAAGGACAGCCTCTAGGGACAAGGAGGATGGATTCTCATCCCTGACAGTGCATCTGCCTGATACAAGGGACCGTCTCCCTAAGGTACGCTTTTCTTTGAAGAAAAAAAAAAAAAGGTAACAAATTGTCTTTACATCTTGGCACCTTGTAAAGTTTTCTTTTATACAAAAAGTTCAATAGCTTTGACAACTCCCCATTATTAATCACTACTTCACTGATAAACTTTGAAAGTGTGACCCTGGCATTTCATCATGCAAAATATTTACTGCAGCAGGAGAAAAACATTTTTTTAAAACAGCATTTTTTTTTTTTTCTCTTTTCAAATGTATGAACTGGTTTAAGATAGCCAGGAAGGCAGTGGTAGGATAAACACAAGGGATAGGAATGTATCAAAAAACAGATTAACACGCACGCGCGCGCACGCGCACACACACACACACACACACAAATCTGTACAAAATGCTCTGATCAATGAGAACAGAAAAAACAAATCTGTCAACTATGTTACAATTTAAAAGCCAAAGGTTGGGGGGGGGGGAAGGTTAGGGAATTTCTCCCTCCCACATGTCAGGAAATGTCATCCAATATTCTTAAAGCGAGGATAACTAAATAAAATACATGTGCAGCATATTCTGCAATCCCATTACATACAGTAGTTTTTTTCCAAAGCTATTTTTTTTTTTTTAGTATCGTTAATATAAAGCAGTTGCACAAAAAGCAAAGGTGTTTTGACAAACAGGTGTATGCATTTATTCCTTTTTAGGAACAATATCTAAAAAAAGAACCACCCTCCGCCCTCCCCCAAAAAAGACAAAGATTCACACAGACACATTGGAATATATGTACAACATAATAAACCCCATCCTAAAGAAGCGACTGGAACACCCCCCCCCAAGGGATACAGAATCAGAATTGTAAAAATCATAGTGAAGTTTGCTTGCTGTAAAGCCTGAGAATTTTTTTTTCAGTTGGTTTTTCTGCAGGGCTGTGATACCTGCAAAGATATGTAAAATCTAATTTTTCTTTTTTTTTCTTTTTGCTACAGTCTTTAGACTAAGCATGCAAGACATACGACTAAGTGCAACTGAGTGAAATGTATTTTTTTTAAATTTTCATCATTCCCTAAAGGTTTGAACTGAGGTATGCGTACTAACAGTTTCTCATGCTGTTATCTTTACTCATGTCTAGCTACACATGCTGAGAATGAACTAATCTACCAGATTTTTATCCTCTTTTGAATACCAAACTAACCAGCAACCACTCAGTTTAGAAGCACAGGGCCCCCTTCCCATGACCCTGTCTGGCTACTGCCTGCACATCATGAAGCTGCCTGGAAAAGTTTAAAAAAAAAAAAAAAAAAAAAGAAAAAAAAAAAAAAAAGTCTTGAGTGACCACAGACTGCCCTTTATACAGAAAGCAGAGTGAAGCTTCAAAAGAAACTGGCAAAGAAGTTTTTGTACCAAGCTTATGAGTGGATGGGAGTGTTACTTTTTTTTTTTTAAATGAAAAATGCTGATCAAAGCCTAATTAGAAAAAAAGGAAGGAAAAAGGAAAATATTTTAAACCAAACAAAAAACCGGAAGATCAATGCCCAGACAGAGCAAAATTGATGATCTTAGCACGGTCCTTAAAACCAAAGTGGCATACAATCTTTCTGGAAAACAAAACAAAACATTCTAGAAATGGTACTACGTGATTGAGTTGCATTGTAGAAGCTTTTCTGTTTTCTTTCCATTTTATTTTGACTGTCTCCTTTACTGGTTACTCCCTAATTTGCAGTGGCATCCATTCATGGTTTTGAGACGGGACTCCTCTCCTTCCCTAGCTCCTGTAACACCTTCAGCAGCCCCGTAACCTCTCTTTATGAGTTTTGGTCTCTGTTGAGGTACAGAACAAGAAAAAAAAAAAAAAAAAACAAAAGTAAGAACTTTGGTTCCATTACCTACTTGGTCTTCTAAATTTATTCTATGACGAAGGAGCAGTTCTCTTTCTCAGGTTAGCAATAGCCTAGAACTCATCAATTGCCTCTAAATTCTTTCACCTCCTTTGATCAACAATAAGAGGATATTTGGCTTCATCAGATAAAGCATAAAACAGAGAACATAATTTACCTTTGCGTAATATCTTTGGTAATTTTAGGAAAAAAAATACAAAGAATATAAATTAATTAAGCTCCGAAAGGCTCTCAAGCTAAAAACAAAAGCTACGGTCCTAGATAAATAAATGACAGGAAAGTGGGTGCAGAGTGGAGGCGTTGAGGGGTTCTAAGGACTGAGGTTGTACTGACCGGTGACTGTCGCATTCTGCGTGCCATGTATGTTTCTCCAAACATTCTGGGGCACCGTGCACCCCCACCTCCTTGATGTCTTCCGTTAGTTTTGGATACTGGCTTGGTGTGATAATATTGCATAACAAACTGAACTGCAGTACCGAATTCGCACGTTTGAAATGAACACTTTAGCATTGCTGAACTCAGTCCTCATTAACTTCCATAACAAATGCAATCTGAAATCTAATTTGCATTCAAACAGATTAATGCCACCAAGCAGGTCTGGACTGATGTTTACATTCAGCGCCGCCACCACTTTCACCAGAGTTGCTCAGGGAAGCCAGCTTTTTGGGTCATTTTGCAAACAAAGCAACCCGAGCCGGTTTTCGCCTCAGCGAGCCTGTGGCCCATGGCAACTTGGTCACCAAAGAGCCTTCCACGGCCACACTGGGGGTCTAGTAGGAGATCTTAGGGGGTGGGGGAAGCGCTGCCTAGGTTTCCTTGTGCTGCTGGGGCAATGCTTTACCACGATGGTAGCTGCAAAACAGAAAACACCAAAAACCAAAAAACCGAAACCAAACTTGAAACAACCCCCTTCCCGCCTCCAATACTGCTTCGTGGAATGAATTTGCATTGTTCCTAGGGTGTCTCTTTTTTTTTTTCTGTCATTCATTCTCTTTCTGGCAGGACTTCACGTCTGTGTGAGAGGACCTTCATGTGTAGAGTGCAGCATTTGGGACCTTTTTTGAAAAAGACCAAAACGGAATGTTTTCGGACTTTGGAGAAAACGTGGTTATGTCTGAAGGAAACTGGAATGAGTGACAGAAAACTACGAACGAGAAATGACATTCAGCTTTTGTATAATAAAAACACCTATTAACATTCATCACAAGGTACAGAAAACTTGAAGCCTCCAGGAGGCCGTGGGCCCAAATGGAGGCCTGAGGTCAGAACTTAAAATGGTATAGTAGAAGCAAAAAAAAAAAAAAAAAAAAAAAATGCAATACATTAAAAAGTTTGGGATAATTACTTTTTAACCCCCTCCCCCCAATACACACACAAAGGCCTTCCCCATCCCAACTGGAAGCAAAACAAAAACAAAAACGAACAAAAAAAAAGGAGTAAAGGCAGTGATAATCAACATGCAGTACTGTGCAAATAGGTCGTCCATTGGAATCCTTAAATTCTGGGCAGAGGCTTGGTCTGCAGCTTAGGTGCACATGCTCAGTTGGGTGTCCTCAGTGTCCAACGTTGGCAGGACTGCAGTTCAAAGTCTGCTGCTAAAAGTGAATCAGTTTAGCAAATTTACAACACTGATGTTGACTGTTAAGAGAGGAAAATCCCAAGTACCAAACAAGTCCATCCAATGCACAGAGTACAAATTCCTTTTTTCAACAAAAAGTAGAAAAATCAAAAATACTCCCAAATGGGATTCTTGATGGCACTAAGAGTTAACACGTTTCAGAGTTGTCAAAATGTAGTGAAAATCCTCCAGACTGTACAACAAATGGAGAACAATTTCACTGCTAACTTTTGACGTGTTTTGTTTTGTTTTGTTTTTGTTTTTGTTTTTTTTCCCAATCTTCGTTCTTGGGGTTGGCCCCCGCCCAGACACGTTCACTCCATGTCCTCATTTACTGGTTCGTCTTCGTAATCTCTGTCGTGGTCAAAATCTGGACTGTGGTTGGCTGTTGTCACTAAGGACAGAGGCCCTTCAGCTTCCTCTGGATCGAGCGGTTCTTCTTTGACGTGCACAGGATGCCTGGAAGAGATGAAAACAGGTTCACTTGAGGGCCCCTCCCAACCACGGCAAGTTCGGGGCTTTGGGCAACAGAAGCCACACTCTAGGACTGTACTGTCTCCCAGCACAGGCACTAGCCACGTGTGACTCTTTAAATGAAAACTTCATGCAATTTAAAACGGAGTTTCTCAGTTGCAATGGGGCAGCACAGAGATGACAAATTTCTGTCATAGCAGAAGGTTCCTTTGGGCAGAGCTGCTCTAGGATGATCTCTGGCCCGAAGCAGCCTCTCTTCCCCGGGGGTGTGTCTCACACCGTCCTATGCACTCAAGTCACCCTGGGCTCTTGTTAAATGAAGAGCCACGTGTGACTCAGCAGGTCTGGGGTGGGACCCGAGACTCTGCATCCCTAGCAAGCTCCCAGGCAATGCCTCTGGTCTGAGGAGGACCACACTTTGAGTACCAGGTAACAGGCCCCGCAGTGGCTTCCTGGGGAGAGGAATCCGAGTCTTCAAATCATTACGTGAAATAAGAATCTGTACCACAATGGTGGTTTGTGGGGACCACTGAGTGCGGGAGGCTGGGCTAATCATGGCTTGCTGTGTGTTCTGCTTTGCTAGTTAACATGCAGAACCTGTGAAAGAACTCTCCAGAGACCGACCCCAAGCGAGGTTCTATCATTAATCAACTTCAAGCAAACACAGCAAAGAGACACCATGATACATGCTTGAAACTCCAAATTAATGCATATTTTTACAAACTGTCAATAAGGCGAGAAAAGCCCTGCCAGGAAACACAAACGGAGAGGAAAAGGCTCGCCCAACACAACAATATGATAAGGAGGCAGAGCCCCGATCAGAATAATAACGCTGTCAGCTGTAAACAAGGCAAAACAAGAGGGCCGGCTGGTAGCAGCCACCAGGACGCCGCAGCCTGTGACGCGATCTGCCAACTTCCTCATTATGGCCCAGCACACGGTTCACCCAAAGGGGACTGCGGGGGATCACGCGAAACCACTCCGATAACAACTGAGCAATGTTGTTCGTAAATCATATTTACAACTGATCCTTTGCAAATACAAATTACTTTCTGTTGCAAGCCTTTTGATATGGAAAAGAACCATTCACGTTAAAATGGTCCCATCGCTGGCACAGGCTGCAGAAGGATTTTTTAATTGACGTTATCAAGTATTAGTAATAAGAGGTGGTACTGGGGATGGCTGATTTCCTAAATAATTGATGTATGCAAACCCCCAAAGGCCACTTGAACCATTTAAAAACAAACAGGAGTGCTTTGGACTGCCCTTGATGAGGTGAACCTTCAGAAAACCAACTGACTCCAAAATTAGCACAGCCCAGGGAGTGTCTGGGGGTAGATGTCAGGAGAAAGAGCTTTTAAAAAATTGTGCCCATCTTCCTAAAACTAGTCGCAAAACGAAATGTCTCGAAGTTGTAGTCCAGTGCATTTTCCTGGTTGTGTTCCATCCTTTTTTCAGTTTCTTCATGGCCCTACTTCTCTGTGTTTCTACAGGAAGACCCAGGACTGGCTACGTAATTTGCAGAGCCCCAGTGAAAAGTGAAGACGCAGTTCAAAAATTAGAATTTCAATGTGGAAACGGCAGAAGCACTGAAACTTCTAACCATGCCTCTGAAGCCAGCCCTGTAGGATCCCCTATATTCTTTTGGGAATAATTAAGTGTACTGATGATTATGCCTTTAAAAAAAAAAATCCCCCATAAGCCCAAAATTAAGGTAGGTTTTTTTGTTTTTGCCTATCCTCTCCTGTGTGGCATCATATTTTTACATACCGTATACATAACAAATATGATTAGTTTGTCAGCTTTTTCAGTTGTAGTTTTTATGGGTATATGAGATGTGTGGACTCTGCAGTCCTTTAATACTGGGCATTTTGTGATTGTCTTTTTTTTCCTTGTTTTGCTCTTTGAATAATACAGCCACCACTTTTATCCATTAATCTTCCTATTTCTGTTAATTTACCTCCTCAGGATAAATTTCTAAGAATGAAATTCTGGGAGCAAAGGCCAAAAACATCTTTATGGTTCTTAAGATTTATTATAGTATTAATTTCCAAAGGGGTGATATCAATTTAGACTCAACTTCATCAGCCCCAAGCGTTACATTTTTAAAAATATTTTGTTGCTTAACAGGTATACGGTAAGCTCCGGTTACTTTAAATTGTTCTTCTTGGATTACTGACAGCAGTGAACATTTCTTCCTGTTTGAATCTCATATTTTCACTATTGAGCAGTCCTACTTCATAAATTACCCCCCCCTTCTCTGCTGATCACATTTGGCTAGAAATGTATCTATGTGTTACTTAGCCCTGTATTGACGTTCAAATGTGGTTTCCCTGATCAACATTTTCCTACTTTCACTTCTTTAAACAGTCAGAATTATTAATCTTTTCAGGTTTATAAACCTGAATTTTTTTTCTTTAAATTTTTTATTGGTATGTTAATCACCATACATTACATCATTAGTTTTTGATGTAGTGTTCCATGTATAAACCTGAATTTGATGACATGAGATGATATAAGGCTACAGGGGGTCGGAGGATGGAGAAGAAATGGAACATTCTTAATGAAGTTCTTGCTTTATAATTTTCCACTCTTGACAAATGTTTGCTAGGCACTTCACGTTAGAGAAGGTTTTGTTTTCCCTGGAAAGTTGCAGCTACACTTAAGGTTACCATCCCCCAAGACACAGGTTAGGACCCTATCACGCATGCTGGCTCACCCCAATGCCTAATGCAGAGTGGGTCCCCAACAAATACTAAGTGACAAGATCTGTGTGACAACCTGACAACACAACCGAGTTAGACATTAAGGCTTCTTAAAACTCCAGAGAAATGAAATCCAGCTTCACAACATTTCTTGATACCAGCAGATCCCCCTGAGTGTGGCAAATGCAGTCATACAGGCCTGCGGTGCTTCAGAGAATAAAAGAGAATGGATTTCCAAGCAAGATACATTTCAGGTAAGATGCAAACTATTTAAGATACGATGCTTCACACACGTTCGTGTGTCTCCCAGAAATCGGAACTGCACGGGCGCACCATCCTGCACGTTGTCCCCTGCCCCACCTTCCCCCCCAACTCCTACTTCCCTAACGGTTCCCAGTGAATCACTGTGCAAAAGCACACATTTCCCTCCTTACATCTGAGTAATTCCTTTGTTTAGCCACTCTGGGAACACGAGAGTTTTTAACTAAAGCTGACTGGTGTTTAGGGGCATTGTGTTTGGAGGGTGTGTGCACAGCATGGAGTATTTTGCTTTGTAGCTCCGTTAGCTCCTATCAGGATAAAAGTATAATGCCCCAAAGCCATAATTACGTGGCTACTTTCTAGTGTTTCCGAAGAGAAACAAAATGTGGTAGGAGTGAAGCAGCACAGAAAGGGTGAGGAGCTCTTGTTTCAATGCTAGATAGTGGCTGGGCTGCTGTACTAACAAGGTTCTCAAAGCCATGCCATAAAGTTTACGGCTTGATTTATTCCAATAGACTAGAACAGTTAAGAAACAATTTGCATCATAGCAGGGTAATGCATATTGCCCAAGAAGGAAAACTATGTCATTACAGAATTCACTTAATGGAAATACAGGGTCAAAAAGAGTAACAGTCTGTGACACTGAGAGCGGGCACAGGGACTATGCTGTTGACATATAATTATATTTAGCAAACAGTGTAAAGCGGGGAGATCTGAACAACAGTGTGCATTTTGACATCTTTACGTCGGGTTTCCTTAACAAAACCAAAACAAACCCAAACAAAACACAACCGAAACCTTCATTTTGTTAAAAATTATGCTGACTGCTTGCGAAATGTGGTTTCTGGTAATACTGGGGTTAATTCAAAGTTGTTAAACAAATTAACTTTGTGGTGGCTTTATCTTGTACAGCAAAATTAGCATCATTCTTAACTGTTGCCTGAGGTTTTTATCCAAATATCTTTCTCTTTTCAGTAATTCTTTGCACTAAATAGTAGGAATAGATATCAGCTAACCCTTGGAGTTCATAAAGATGATGAGAAATAGTCTCTCTTCCATTCAGTAACTTCAGAAATACTTGCTCGAATGAGCATTTCTTGAAGGACCTTATATACCAATTTATATTTGCTCTGAACTTCCTTAATAACTGATTAAACACTCCTGTCATGACAATGATTTAAAAATGAACACGAATGTGACTACAGTCAAGTCAGAAACACCAGCCTGCTTTAGAAAGGATGATATATAGCAGAATCAGTGTCAAAGACAAACACGTTCTTAAAATGTTGTGTAGTAAATGCTAAGAGACTGTTCACATAAATTAAAAATGATTATTTCCATCTTTTAAGATCCTTTTCAAAACACTCTGGGCATGAAACTCAAATGCTAAATAATCAAATTTCAGATTGCCCCCAACCCACTCATTACCCTGACCGACAGCATTTTTCTTTTCCTTGTTCTTTGACGCCAATTCTTTCTGGTCCTCGTGGCTACAGGTCATATTTTCCATTCCCATCACTCAAATTATCTTAAGGTGCTGGTCAAGTAATTCAGGAGTGTGTAGACAAGTGGCCTATTCTAGGAACAGCCAGTGCTGCAAACATTGGGTTGGTTTCTTCCTTAAATTGGGCAACGGGGGAGCAGATACTTGCTCCAAGGGAGAGACTGTCCCTCTAGAGCAACCCCCACAAATCCAAGCATCTGGAAAACTGTGGCTTCTTTTCTCTTTTAAACTTTCCCTGGCAGAGAGGGAGGGGCCCCAGCTGGGGCTCTTCTGCCGCCCCCCCCCCCCCACACACACACACTGGGGAGGGAGGGTGTGTGCCGCCGAGGCATCACACCTCTGCTGTCGTCGGGCCAGTCCCACTGCCATTCACATTCAGCAGGGACAACCATCGCCCATCACTTCATTCAGTTATATGGTGCTCATTATACTGCCGTCTGCTGCTATAATGCTCCTATTAATTTTCCTTTTGATATTTTAAGAGCAATCTATAAATCATGCTGCCTTTCATTTGTGCCATCATTAACGCCTGGTCATGACGCTTCAGCGCTGTGTTTGCGGTTCAGACTATCACACAGCCAAGTCAACAAGCATTCTTTTTCCCCCTGCTAGGTTCGGCGTGCCCGCAAGTTGAACAAACCGACAAGAGATGCATGCCGATTTTAGGAGGAAAAGGTAATGTGGCTTAAATAATGGCCTGAGATGCCAAGCAGAGGGAAAAAAAAGCAAATGAGTCACCCGTTTTATTGCTGTGTGCACTTGTAGGGCTGCATGAAGCCGATTGCTTTTATGGGAAAGTTAGTAAATGGTCCTTTTACGTGCTAACCGAGCTAAACATTTCCAGAAGCACAAACTTTTACCAAGGTTCTAGGAAAGCAGAAATGACAGAAAAGGTATGAAGAGCAGCTCGAGAAGGGCTTGTGTGCACACTGAAGCGGGAGACTGGGACCTGCACGCAGAGACCTTCCGGGTGGACAGTACTCACACGGCTTGCATAGGGGATCTGCCCGGACTGCTGTCACTCTCGTTGCTGTTGGTATGTTCCATTGCCCCGTTCAGCTCTTCCCGTATTGCGCTGGCTAAGTTGCCCAGAGTGGGATTTCCCATGGAAGCGGTAGTGTATAGAGGTATACTATTCTCAGCCATTGAAGCCTGTTAGCAACGAAGAGAAAATATATGAGGATGTAGGGTAAGCACAGACAGGGAAGCCGTTAATTACGGGTGTAGTCAACGATCTTCTGCTTAGGTTCTTAGTAGGGCTGGCCAGTACAAGTTTCTAACAGGGGGAGAAGGATTTTGCTTTAAAAGGCAGACTTGCGACACATGTCCCACGCTTGGTTTCCAAGAGCTAGCTGGGACCAAAGCGCTGGTGGGGAGGGAGGACTCAATTTAGCCCTGCTGGGTAGAGTCATGTGGTTTAGACAGGGCTATCTAAAATGAGCTTTCTGTCTGATGCCTTCTTTCAGGAGGAACTGAATATTTCCAGATCACAGGGAAATATAATGGAATTTTCATTTCTTTATCCACTTTGATGACTCCAGTATTGGATATTAAAGATTTGATCCAATTATTCTGGCCTCACAGCTCAAACTTATGAGAACTTCCATAAACAATTACCTCTTAGATCCTATAGAAAAGGAAGAGATTATAGAATTGGAGTCCATTTTTATCTGCCACCATCGTTTCGGTTTTAATGGTTTCTGAGTCTGTTTAGTGCAGTTTGTGTGATGTTACCCCACAGTTATCTTAATCTTTCAGACTCAGACCGGTCAACCTGGAATTTTAGGACTGAAGGAAAAAAAAAAATCTGTCACTCTACATGAGTGTCAGCCCAAAAGTGTGGAAATGGAGAAAAGAGGAAATCCTGAAGTCTGTGGTGGGATACTGTTCACTTCCCATCCTCCTGTGTTTGAATAAAATGACCACCCAGTCTCAAATGCAGACAGTCATTAAATACAGCTTTGGACTAAAGTATCCATATTGTTTCATTGAGTAGAGTATGACCCAGTAACTTTTCATTTTATTGACGAGGACAGACTTAAAAACTGGCAGTGTAATTAGACCAAGATTTATCAAAACTGTCCTCTTGCAGACTATAGTATGCCTGGTTTTCCATCCTAATGAGGAGAAAGTACAATCACAAGACAGTCTGGCTTGGTGACTTCAATTGGCCAGTCATACAAGAGTCCAAAGTATTCTAGAAATCCTGGCTCTAGAGAGAAAGAAAGAGCCAAAAATGAAGACAGAGCGGGCTGCAGGGAATGTGCCTATTACGACAACTGCAGCCTCACTCACTGTACAAACTCCAAAGCAAGGAATGCCTTCTTAGATACAAGCCCCTGTGACGGGTCTTCACTTAACACAGCATCGGCCAATGGACGATTTCAAAGCCAGGCTCTGTGCAAGCCCACAGATTTCCCTTCTCTCCACTTCTGGATTTATATAACTGCCTGCTTTTAAAAAGTGGGGAAAAAAAATCCTGTTTTTATTTCCAAATGTGGTGAACTCATTTTGATGAACAGTAAATCTGAACATTCCTTCGCTCTCCTACAGTTTGTTAAATAATTTGCATCAAGTACTTTTTTTTTTTTAACAGATCACTTATAATTGCAATAAAGCATTTTTTCTTTTTTTGGCAGAGCAAAAAGCAAGAATGGTTGCCAGATTATTTTTTAAATTTTTTTTTTTTTTTTTTTTTTTGCAAACTGCAGCTGGACAAGCATCCTAACGGCCTTCATTTGAAACAACTCAGTGGTCATGCCTCTCCCAGTCATGGAAGTTCTGCTCTCATGTCACCATGACACAGAACGCGGCCCAAGTGAGGCCATCTCTACAGCGTGGTATTTTTTATTTTTATTTTTATTTTTTTTAGCAGCTCCTCCAGTCAAAAATGGAGAGGCAAAGACAAAACTGAAATGTTCGTAAGAAGGTGTTCTTTGGCATAAGATGGTCACCCCTACGGACAGAGCAACCTTCTTAGGATGATGTGGTCTCCTTGGCTCTTGAAGTGTTCTAGGTGAAGGTCGTTAAAACATGGGCTGAGGCCCCATAGCCACGGTGGTGAAAGGCATCCAAAAGGCAAGCACTTCTGTTGATCCCTCGGTGGTGAGACCAGAAAGAGGAAAACCAGCCTTGTCCCTTTAAGAAAATGACCAAGTGGGAGGATGGTGCCTGGTATAGGCCACAGAGCCTCTTGCACCTTCTTTGTTGAGTGAGTGATCAAAGCAACCCAGCCAAGGCTAGAAACATTAACAAAGTGGTTTTTTTGTTTTTGTCGTTGATGTCTACGGAGGAGCAGGTGGGGTATGATTTTTATAATGGACTTCATTATATAAATGGTCCTGTGTACAGTATGTGGTTTCGTATCAAACTGGCACCTCTGCCCAAAAAACAAAACCACCCCCCCCCCCCAAAAACTAAAAAACTAAGGTGCCTCAGTCCATAAGTACCGCTGCTCCTGGAACACGAACCATGCTAAGATCCTCGGGGGAAAGGCAGTCTATAAATAAGAAGCTTTACGGTTACCCTTAGTTACTTCACTTTTTCAGAGCATAATGCAATCTGTCTCACGTCCAATGTTTTATTTCTGTAGTGGATTCTGCTGTCCTATTTTATATATTGTATATCATGCATTATGTTGCTCTAGTAATCTTTTTAAGATGTTGTTCCACTATTATTTTTACTTGTCTTGAAAAATGGAAATGGGCAATAATGGGAAGGAAAGCCTGCTGGTAGAATCCTGATTTAATTTGCACAGCAGAGAAAGTTACATGAGACTGTCTACTGACCATGGATCCAAAGTCCTTGACAAGAGGAAAAAGATCCATTCCTCCAATCATGAACTTATATCAATTTATTCACCTCACCTCATTATGCACATAAAGTGTTCTTGGAAAACTACAGGATCGTTTTGGGCTACCCCTGGAAATGAGAAGGGGGAGGGAGGATGCCAAAAACAAATGTTTTCCAGAAGAAACATGAACAGTTTTGTCATGATAAGGCATACTAATTTAAATCAGTCACATAGTTAAGAGAATCCAGAGGATCACTGCTTTTTTTCCCTTTCTGCCTCATGAATGTAAAATGTGCTTGTAATCTTAATACTCTTCCAGATAGAGCAGCCTTTAAATTCACACTTCACAAGACTGCAGGGAAAATAAGTTACTAATGAATGGTATTTACAGTGGCGGCATCTAAGCGTGCTCTCATTTGCTTTTCTAAAGTTACTGTGTAAACTACAAGTAATTATCAGAAACTCGGAAGTAGTTCCTATTAAAGTTGGTAGAGCCTAAAAATAAATAAATATAATTACTGAAAAACTAAGTTCAGTGCATTTGCCTCCGCACGGAAACTGTGTTAAAGGTGTATCATCTATTGTTGGGAGCTGTGAGGCTGTGCTGAGTGATCTGGGAAACCGTGTAGGGGGCAGGTTAGGTGCTCAATAAATATTTGTTCTAGGAGTAGTGAGAACCACGTGCCCGTCCTAATCTCCTGCCTCTTCACCCACTCTGTTCCCATAATGTCAAGTAGCTCAACCATTTTTCATTCTCTTCTCTGACCCCTTACGGAGCCTTATGAAGACACTCCTGTTTGTTTGTGTTATGGCCCTTTGGAGGGGCACAAGACATTGTACTATCTAAGTACCCATTTTGGGGCGATAAAGCCCCCAGCAAGAACCCACACTGTAAAGGTCTGGGATGGCCTGGGATTATATACATCCAATCTATGTACAGAGTATGTCTTTTTCAAGGTAGCAAGATTCCCTTGGCCTGCCTTCTAGAACAATCTAGGCAGGGGCAAACTCAAACTGGGACCACTGAGAAATGGGATAAATAAAAGGCTCGGCTGACTGCCTTGTAACTCGTATCTGGCTGGTAAACTCACTCCTGCTCAAAACTAGTGTCTTCATCCCCCGGTAATGCTGGTTATGTAATGAGTGCTTGGTTTGTCAGTAGGAAACAAACATTCTGTATGCTTCTTATGTAATCTTGAGCAACCTGCTGGAAACCTAAAGAGTGTTCTTCAACACCCCTCTAGTTTAAACAAAAACAGTTTACTTTTACCAAGTGAACCAAACCTGGATCTCCGCCACGCCCCCGCCCCCCCCCCGCCCCACCCCGGCCAAGGACTGAAGATGCTAAAACAGACTTTAGAAGAAGAAATAAAAAGCTCTGCTTTCTCTTTAAACCCGTGAACAATAGAAGGTCATGTGATACAGTGGCCTATCATCCAGCACATTAATAGCTGTGCTAGAGTAATTACACTTGTGGTATTTTTGCCTCAAGTGAAATTCTGAAATAAGAGGATGGAAATTATGATACTGCTGATAAATATTAATAAGTGAACTTTTAATTTTTTTGCCACAATATTCAAAATGCTAAGCATCCCACTAATGCTGAAGCAGCCCGATGTGTTTGCCTCCAGGGAGTACGATGCTTTGTGCACTTAAGAAAAAAGTTTAACGGAATTAAAATTTAATATCTAATTAGAGCGAGGCTAATATATTTTGAAATGAGAGGGGGAGACATGTGCCTCCACTGCATATTCGGGACGACCATTAATCTTACCTGTAAAGCTGCATTGAGGGGTGTACAATAGGCGTGGCTGCTCTGCATGTTTTTAATAAGGGAAGGGTTACTGCATAAGAAAAAGATAAAAACTCAAAGTTAAACGCAATCAGCCCCTGAGTTCCGAGCCAAGTTTTATCTTAAGCTTGCTGGTCTCCCTTCCAAATCAGAAATGTCCCCCATTAACAAAACCAAAGGAAAGTTAGGTTTTCTCCACAGCCCCCGGCTTTACGGGGCTGGTCTGTGTGGATACCCCGGGGTAGGACTTTGCTCTTCAAGGAAACTGGGTGTAAAATTCGGGCTTCAGTTAGACCAGCCCTGGGCACTCCCCTCCAATGATGTTTTGTTTTTTTTTTTTTTCCCCCCTCACACAACATCTCAACCTCTCCGCACATTTTTAGTAGCTGCCATGAGCCCAACAGGAAGGCAGAAGCTCTGGGGGGGTGAGGGGCAGTCAAGTCTGTGAGCTGACAGCAGGGTTTCCTGGGAGTTAGCTAGAGAATCGTCTCCATGGTATTAACTCCAGAATGACCGTAGGAGGTAAAGGCAGGATGGCTCTTAAAGGAGGTCCCCCTCTGAGGCACATTTAGTGCTAAAAGAAGATGGGGAGAAGGGGGTGACACGGAAGGGTTGTTCCCAGGGAAGGCAGGGAGGTTGGGTTGAGATCTTTCTTGCACAGCCAAATCTGGGAGGTTGTAAGAATACTGGATGCTGTGTCCATGAACCAATCCAAGGAAGACTAGATACCATGCGAAAAAAAATCTCTAGGAAGGAGAGGCTTCCAAGTAGGAAGTCACCCAGATTGATCACTGGCCTTTAAAGGAAGTGTATGTGCTGTTACGGATTTCCCTCTCCTCATTCATTCCACTTACATTATTCTTATAACTGAGTGGGCAAATACCAAGAAATGTACCCCGTTAAATACACATTTTAACTCTCCATAAAAGTTGCCTTTTTCCTTGGGAGGAATTGCTTTCAAGCCAAGGTATTTACTCTTAACGGGTCCCCGTAAGCTGCTGAATCAAAATACGACCAATATGTGCATTAAAGACGTCAAAAAAGCATTATTCAAGGCACTGGTGTTCCAAAGAGAAACAAGAGAAATACATGTACGAATCACACAATTTAGTTCCATTGCAGAAAAGCCGTGGCACTGCTACTTGGTGAAATGCAAAACTACATGGGATGAGTCAACCATGCAAAGCCAAAGCAACAGCAGAAAAAACAAAACAAAAGCAAGTAAAGGCTCTTACTGTGTGACAAGCTCGTCAAAGTTTTCATCGGGGCAGTATTTGCGAGGACGGCCTCGTTGAATATGGCGGCCACGTTTAAACTCTTCATCATCAACTGTCCAAAAGGACCCAAACTCATCCTCTACTCTGATAAAGCACTTATGCAGTGAGAGGTTGGTGCGAATGGCACCCTGGGATAGGAGCAGCGGCAAAGGAGATGGAGTGGCAACAAAAGGAGACGGGGTTGGGGGGGCAGAACAGACATCCAATACAGGGAACAGGAAAAAGAAAATAAAATGCAATAAGCATAAGCAAATGGTTTGTGAGGGTTAATATGCATTGCCACCTAAAAGCTACTAGCGTGGGATGCAACAAAGACCGGCAAGCAGGGCAGGGGGACTGGTGGGTATACAAAACAGGAGGGATGAAATGCTTTTTTGCTTCCCTTAACTGAGACAACGTGAAACCGGTTCGTTGGTCTAACACCGTCTAGCAGCCAAAAGCCTCTACTTGACACTTGTTAGCACAATCCAAGCTAGGCTAAGAAGTTCAAACATGGTGGACGTACCCACTGATCTTTTGTGGCCTTCGTTTTTGGAATTCTACTTCATCCACTGTCCATACTGCCCCTTTAACGTTTTCTACTCGCACAAAACACTTGTGAAGACTAAGATTATGACGCACTGCATTCTGCAGCAAGTATAAAAGAGAGAACATTTACATTTTCTATAAGAAAAGACTCCAAAAACAGCAGTAAATTCAGCCTCACAGTCCACATTTGTCAAACCATCCCCAAAAGCTGTAGCTAACCACCCCCGTGGATGACCTTCTTGAGGTTAAGGATGCCTTTTCCAAATGTAAAAATAAAAAAACAAAACAAAACAAAATTATCAATTAATTATACTCTGGCATTTACATCTAGTCTCTGGTAGTAGCTAACCAGAAGAAATAGTTAATATGCATGTAAGCCCAAAATAGGGGTCACAGTAAAAATCTGAAAATATTGTTAATATGACTTCAAAATAAACACATAGAGCATAAAACTGTCCCCTTTAAATTTACCTCCCATATAAAAGGGTATTTAAAAAAAACATGCATGATGATAATACTGTTAAATACATTTTGTTCTTGTTCTTTTTTCGAAAGTTTTGGCTTTAATACCTTCTACGGGTTTTGTCAGATTTATCTAAATTGGATTTTACCACTGAGAGCATCACCTCCTGCAGCTGACTGGATGAGGGAATGAAATGATCCCCAGTACATCAGTATCCATCATCAAGCTATGTCTTACCTTCCCAAATATATACAAACCTTGGTCCTTACTATGGCCAATTACCTTAATTAACAAACAATGCCAAAGAATCACCTGAGTAGAACTCTCAATGGCAAAAAGATACTCCTGCAGCTGATGGTTCCTAAAGACACATATTTCTATCCCCCATGTTTCTTTTTTATGGTTAAATGTCATTTCTAAGATCATTCTTAAACGGAGACCCTGGACATCCATAGTCCACCGAAAAGGAGGATTCCAACTCAAAGGTGAGGAGCCTTAACATCTCCTCTTTGCTTTGAGTTTCAGAAAAATCCATGACCCGTGCTGGGGTCTGGAACAAATATGGCTTCATTTCTTTAGCCTCCTTGGTTGAACTTACTGATCGAGACTCCAAATTAGACATGAGGACATTACAAAAAGACCCATGCCATTGACTCAAACCTTTCTTCTTACAGGGCATACGCAGGGGACTACTGTGGTCTGAACAGCGGATGCATACAACCCACCTCCCACACGCCATGTAGCATATCCTCCACTCCATTCCAATGATGCTGCCATCGCTCAAACGTGGGGCAACCCACCCCTTGGGCTACCTGCAAGTATTCCCGCTCTCAAGATACTGAGCGCTGTTTCCACTTTTAGATAATCACCGTTGGTGACTCTGAGGAGTCAGACGAGATAGTGCTGATTTTTCTTTTTCGATATGGAATATTTAAGAAGATAATGAGACATGTTTTATTACATAGCTAAGTTATCAACTACTCGCAAGGAGAATCCACAGGATAAATTCTCGGAGTTTTGAGCTATGTCAGCATAATTGGGGTAAGTTGAAAACATCCAGATGACCATGAAAGGACACCCCTGATTCAAACAGGTTGGACAGGTTGGCATAAAAACAAAAGAAAAATCTCTGAAAACGTTTGTCATGTTATATTTATACTTGGTAGGACAAATTTCTTCATGTATAGGTTGTGGTCTGCTCTTCCAATAAGCATTTTCTTTTTTATGCTGTAACCAACGCATGGCACAGGGACGCGAAGGGTCTACTCTTACCTCCTAGAACATTACTTAGGAGGTTAAATTAACCCAAATTTTCTTTTAAAAAACTACAGACAGATCACGTATATGTATGGAAGACATAGTGGGGAAAGAAATCAACATTTCCCCTCAACCTTATCACTGTCTAATATTTTAGAATAAGCATCGAAACATTTAGAACTGCAGAAGATCTAAAGAAACCATGTCTGCCAGAAGGACTACTATAGATCTGTCTGAAGCGTGTGGCCATGTAAGTAAAGATAGAAAGTCAAACTTAAGTTTTATTTTCCAAGACTGTACATCTAAGCAAAAGCATCCAGAAATCAAAGAGTTGCCCAAAAACGTGAGTAAGCCCTTTTCAGCCATGACTTAAATGGGGCACTTCATCTTTTGTTTAGGATTACAATAGAAATAAGGACACGTAGAGAAAATTATACGTATTTATGAGTCATTTGGTACTTGATCTAGGATTGTTTATATTGATGGCACTTTTTCCTGCAGTTTGCAAAAATGAAAAAGTTAAAGCTGTAGATCTGAGCTTAAATATCATATTCACAGCCAGTAATTATTTTTAAATTTGATCATTTTCTATTTATAAAAGGCAATTTGAAGAAAATGTCTGCTTCATGCTTATAAGTTCCTACATTTTGAAAGGCATTCATAGCTAAAGATACTTTGCATTTTATCTCCTAAGGGAGGCTAAGGAGAAGCGGGTAAGGTTTTGAACATAGGTTCCCTTCAGCACCCATGTGTCTTAATGGAAATAAAAAAGGATACTTTGAGTCATAATAGATATTCATGGCTGTGTGAGGTTGATAAATTAATTCTATGGTTATATTCATTTTCTTTTAAAATGCTAATTTATCAAGAACATAAGAGGCAATGTATTTTCTGTTTTTGTTTTTCTCCTATCTAAAATTTAAAAAGTAGCAGAGCAAATTTCCTTTGCATCCTATAATAAATCCCGATATTTATAATAATGACATGTAAAAATATCCTAAGATATTTGCATTTTACATGGTGTGGAATTTGGGGATTATAAGAATTCTAGATAGGAGAAAAGCATGAAAAAAAATTGTCAGGTTGGACCTGCTCTCTTCTATAGCAAGAATATTTAAACCAAAAAAGTAAAAGCGGTAAAATCCAAAAATTTGTGAGGGCTTCATTTAACGCAGTGGAAGAAATACTAAAAGAATCTATGAACCCATTGCTGAACTGGAAATGAGGTATGTCACGTGATCCTCAAGCCTAGTTAGGGCATTCCATGTGGAGCTGAGGGATTTGATCCGTTTTATAGCAAACGGTGTAAATGGTGTTACAGTGAAGTTAGATAATTTCCTTTTCCAGATTTTCTACGAATCTCTGATGGATAGAGTGATGTAAAAAAACAAAAACACCTCCCCCCAAAAAACCCAAAACTAAAACCAAAAACTTAATAACATATGGTGCTGCCCTCTGATACTTGCCATATACACTGCTAGTCCTGAGACCACACGGCTTTCTTTACTAATTGTGGTAAGGAGCTTTTTTTCTTCTTTTTCTTTTTTTAAATCCAACCAATGAAAGTTATGTCAAGTTTGTCTGATCATTTCTCCCAGTTAAAAAAATGTTAGCCATGCATCTCAGCAAATACTGGTGGTGGCTAATGACCGAAAAGCATGAGGTTTGTGTAAATAAAAGGACAACCTCAATATCGGGGTGACAGTGTCATCCGTTCCTTTTCCCTTCATATTGCAACCGAACAGAAAGGACTTTACTGGCTGGTCCATCCAAAATCTGGTGCCAATGTAATGGGAGTCTTCTATCCCAGCATTCTAACCCCAACAGTACTCTTCTCTCAATAAAATACTCCCATAAATCTGACTTTTTGACTGCATCAAAACAATACACATGTAACTTAAAACACCTGCATTTTTTCAACAACAAACTCTTTTATAAATGGTAAGACCCAAGCCTAACAGGCCCGCGAGAAAGCTTACCTTCCATGTGGCCGCATTGCGTCGAAAGTAAGCAAACATTCTTGTGAACCAGTTATAGATTTCATTTAGTGTTAGCTGCTTTTCTGGAGATTCGAGAATGGCCTATGAAGCAGAAGTAACAAAAGAAGATAATTTATGACCAAATCAGCAAAATCGTCATTATACAGTTTCTTGAAAATATAAAATAACCAGGATTCAGAGCTAAAGCCCGAGAAAGGTTTCACGAAATGATCTAAGATTAATGGTTGTATTTAACAGTTCAATAGCAAAATTCAAAATGGAATTATCTAATTGTTTTGAGTTTTTATTTCTGTTTCCGTACAGAAATATTAATTTATTAGTCATTCATAAAGCAGAATCAAAGAGAAATGCAAAACATTTCACTAGCTGATTAAAGCTCAGTAATTATTTAGAGCTCAGATTAATTCTAGGGATCAGAGATTACTGTAGCTTGTGATAATTGACTTGCCATCTTTAAACAGGCTCATTTTCACTGTTGTGTGAAATGAATTTCCTAATAATCACATCGCATTGTAATACTTAATCAAAAGCAATTATGTTATATATTGCAGTTTTAAAAAACCTTATAGAAAAGGTTTTAGCATGCTTGCATACTAAACGGTTTTAAATCTACTTCATCAATATAATATATCCATGTACATGTATACCTTTTGATAGAATTTCACATACGGTGTTACTTACTTACCTGCCTAATTAAAGATGCATATGTAAATGGTGGTCTAACTTCTGCGTTCTTATAAAATTCTTGGTTCTGCGCAATATCTGCTAAATAAGAATCATTGTCCTATTAATTATCACTTTTTAAAAAGAGGCTGGTCTACAAGAATTGCGTATTACGGTTCTACATGAGGCGAAAATGGAGTATCTACCTGAAGAAATGGGCACGTTGTATTTGTCTGAGTACCGCCTGCGGATGGGTCCCACCGTATGCATGCTGGTGGTGGTGATGACGGAGGGGCCTTGGGTGACAGGAGTGATGGGGGCGGTTGGGGTCGTCGGAGTGTGAGGTAAGCTCTGTGGAGAAGCCTCAGATGCAGACTTGGAGAGTGTGACACTTGATACCAGATTCAGCTGTGAGGAAAAGAAAAATTCTTAGAAGAGCTTCAGACAAAACAGGGAGCAAGCAGGCATCTGAAATCCAGACTACTGCAGGGGACGCCCGGCTAGCTTTACTTCTCTAAGTAGATGCTTCTAATCAACTGAAATGTGAGGCGAGTTCCCACGTAAAAACAGTTCACATAGTGGTCAGTTTAAAAATCTCTCTGGCCATGTTCTCCTGACCCGTTGGTGACACAGGTGTTTTCCAAAGACGGTGAAAATTGAATGTGTGCAGAAAGGGGTGACCTAGCCCAGTGAAGTTTGACAAGTTCTGGGTCAAAACATTTCTTGAGTCATGGCTTTGAACCCTTTTGAGCAGCCTACTGTGCTTGGCAAGCCTCCCGGAGGGGGTGGAGTCCTGGTAGGGCCAGTGAACACCAACATCCTAGAAGCCACCACTGGGGATATGTTGGTCTAGACCTGAGCTCTCCACCAGCACTTTCTGCAATGTGTCGGTGCCAGTGCGGAACTGTTTTTACTTTTTATCAAAATTAAACTTTTGTTTAAATAGCCACATGTAGCCAGTGGCTACCACACTGGCCAGCACAGGGATAGGCTACTTAACTCCATGATGAACCTTCACCGATGGGAGCCACCACAAGGATGTTTGGCCTGTGGCTCCAATTAAAAAGAGTGGCACTGGGGCACCTGAGCGGCTCAGTCAGCTGACTGTCCAACTCTTGATTTTGGATCAGGTCATGATCTCTGGATGGTGGAATCAAGCCCCGTGTTGGGCTCTGTGCTCAGCGCAGGGTCTGCTGGAGACTCTCTCTCTGCCCCCCACCAACTCTCTCTCAACTAAATCTTAAAAAAAAAAAAAAGAGTGGCACTGATCCAGTTAGACATCATTCAGTTATATCAGTTGGCAAAGACTAATCTTTGAAAGCTTTATGTGTAATTTTCATTAAACTCTATCAAATAGAGGACTGGAATCTATTAAAAAAGATGACATACGAAACATCGGGAACTGTAAAAATTTTTTTTCTTTGAGTTTCAAATACTCAGTGATATAATGGAATCTAGAGCATCAAGTGAGGAAATGAGTATTATTTATTTGAAGTCGTACAAAGGAAAATGAAGGAGTACCGTTTCCTTCCTTCCATTAGCCTTCACCTTGAAGTGCTTCTCTTATTAATAAAAAAAAAATGGGCTTGTCCCCCTTACCCTGAGTTTGTTCTTCCAGAAATACTAAGTCTAGCTATACTACAGAACGTGGCCTTTTTCAACATATTATTACAAGATACTCACAGCCAGCCCCAAATCCAAGAAACTTAATGCAAAGTAGGCTTACTTGTAACATTTTCTCAAATCAGATTTCAAATCATTTAACAAAATAAGTATTTCACTATGGCAGTAGCCCTAGGGACAAGGCCTTATTTGTGGGAGGTATCAAAAATGAGATTCCTCTGGGATCATAAAGAACACATTAAAAGTTCCAGTTTGTTGAGAAGATTCACCTCTACTCACACTCCAGTAATGAAAAAGGCCATGAGAATGCTTCTCATATGTTTAGGGTAGTTCCATTAAAAAAATAAATAAATAAAACCCAGGAACTTGAAGAAAAGAAGGATCAAATATTGTTAGGTAAATATTCAGGGGAAAAAATGTAAATATGGTGCTGGAAAGGGCATGTTGGGTAGCAAGCCTGTAGTTGTGCTTTCCTGTTGTTTTTTTTTTTAATGGGATGCTTAACAGTTTTTATTTCGTAAATATAAATACTCCTTTAACATACTTTTAAAAAAATATTGTTAATCACCATACATTACATCATTAGTTTTTGATGTAGTGTTCCATGATTCATTGTTTGCGTATTAACACCCAGTGCTCCATTCAGTATGTGCCCTCTTTAATACCCATCACCAGGCTAACCCATCCCCCCACCCCCTCCCCTCTAGAACCCTCAGTTTGTTTCTCAGAGTCCACAGTCTCTCATGGTTCATTGCCCCCTCCAATTTCCCCCCTTCATTTTTCCCTTCCTACTATCTTTTTTTTTTTTTTTTTTGCTTTCCTTTGTAATTCCCCTGGTGAAATGCTGACTCAGCTAATGCCAGACCCTTCCCCCAACCCCCATGCCCTAGAAGAGCAAGCTATGGAGAGGACACTGCTCTTACAACCCCCACCCCCCGCCCAGCAAACTGGGCCAATGCTGCGAGTTGCTTTCTTTTTTATTAGTGCTGGAAACCTGCCTTCCTGACGTGTATTTGTGGACTAAGTGCTTACAGTTCAGAGTAGCAGCCTTGGGATGGAGCAGAATTGAGAAGCCACGGGGGAAAGTTGGGGCTGACCTCCTCTGTGCCTTGGCCCTTAATCACTGACCAAGTGCAGCAACCAGTCTGTATAAGCATCAGCCCAAGCAATGGGTCAAGGAAATTAGTGCAGCAAAGGCTACTACTCATAAATACACAGCTTTTAAGATTCAGACGCTGCTAGTCCCAAGAATATCCGAACACTCTGCAAAGTCGTGGATACCATTTGTATAAACCATGTTGTAAACCACCTGCCACTGCATGATTTCACTTCATTCTCATACTATCACTAATAAGTGAGATGTCACTGCTCACGTTTTACAGATGAGCAAACTGAGGCCAAAGATCGATGAAATGACTTGCCTATATTCACAACCAGTCAAACACACACTCGTGATTCCAGGCTCTCTGTATAAGCATCTTATGCCCAGTTAATGGGAAAAATAAACACTAGCCGGTTTCATTTTTCTGTATGCTCATTTTTGGAAAGGATTCAGTGAATAGCTTTAGTCCCTGCTTATAAATGACATTCAATAAATATTACTGAACAAATATAAGGCATTTGAAACTGAAATGACAAAAACAGGGACAGAACATTCATTCACTGCCCCTGAAGAGCTTACCATCGAAAACAGACACCAGTCCAAGGACAGCGTGTGTTAACAACCACTAAGCAATTCTGAGGACTAACTCCACTTTTTGGCTTTTCTTTTCCGTTTAAGGACAGTACCCTAAACACTATAACTTTCTTAAACACTTAACGAGAATCATAAATAGTAGGGCCTCAAGGAATATGCCGGCTACTCATTTTGTGAGGAAGGGAACCAAGTGAACGGGACTCTAAAAAATCAAAACTCATGTAAACATTCAGTAAGTACATATGCATCTTGCGGTGCTCACACAGAACAGACATGTCACGTGGTACTGTGTCATAAAATGTGAAAAGAATGGGACATCTGTAGCTTTTACCCAAGGTCTTAACACCTGGACTGTCTGTACCGAAAAAGCAACAGTGAAAAATAAAATCCCTCCAGGTTAGCACAACCCACAAAGAAATACACGGTAGAATTTTCTGGAGGCTTTGAACACAGGTAGCAAATGGAAATAAACACGAAGCCAGAAGAGAGCAGAGAGGGGCTTACCAGGCTTGACAAATGACACCATGATTCACACCCACTGCTGGGCTGTCTCTAATAAGCCACAGAGGAAGCAGCCAATCTCAGCTAATTACCAGATAAAAATGTATTGTAAGGGTTCTAATTAGGAGACGAGGATGGAGGTGATCTAATGATTAAATGCTGCATTCGAGTGACCCCACCATCAATGTGCAGTGGTGCAAGATGTCACTGGAATATTTTGTAGAAACAGTAATTTTACTTCGAGGAGGGGAGGCAGTAATATTTGTAATGATGGCTGTGAGGTAAACTAATTAAAAGACAGTTCCTACAGGAAGAGGGTGGCTGAGAGCAGCTGTGGCCATTCCACAACCAAGTGCCAAGTCTCAATAGAGGAACGGCAGTCAAGTGGAAAATTTCTGCCTGACCTCTGCCCTTGCTATTAATTTGCAGGAAAACTAATGACACATATACATATTCCCACAAAATTGTTCTAATTGCTAATTTGCCAAAGGAGCCCAGATTCCAAATTAAACATGACTGTAGTCTGTGAGGGAAGGGAGAACAAAAAGCTGTAAACTCCAAACAGAGGGTGCTTCGCCTCGCAAAATCATTTGAAGGCTGAACCAACAAGTTAATGAAATGTCAACCTTGTCAACTGCTATAGAAGTTTGTTAACTTTCAAACTTTCGTTTGATGATCACATGCTTGTCTTGAGGAGAAACCGTCTTCGGGGAGGAAGGTCACGAGGGAGAGATAAGATGGAGCATGGGGAAGGATTCAAAACAGGCTCTGTGTTCAAACCAAACCTGCTCTTTTAATTAAGGTCTCTGAGAACAGTGGACTCCCCCCATCCCATCCCCCCCAAAAAAAGAGAAAGAAAAAAATTTAATTACAGACTTAGAACAGAACAGCAAATCGGGACTGCTGTGGGTTTTGCTATAATCTTGAAATATTCATCTTAATTGTAAACTATTAAATCTTAATATAATCATCAATTAGAAATGAAAGCATATGAGCTTCGTGTTTCTGATCGTAGTTAAGGTTTTAAAAGATAATTTTTTTTTTTTTTTTCCGGGGCATGGAGCAGGAAGGGATTGGACTGGGAGGGTTTCTTTTCCTATTTTTCTTATTGTGTCTATTTTCTATTTAAAAAGAAGTTGCTATGTTTGGAAAAGTTAGTAACTCTGATATTTTCTACATGGCAAGTTTCCGTCATGTGATGATTTCAGCAAAGATAACCACTTTGAGGGTCTGGCCAGAAGTTAAATTCTTCTGTCACTTAAGATCCGCTGTGGGTTTTTTTCTTTTTTAAATCTCCATGTGCTCTTAACCACCGTCTTTCCCCCAGCTCACTTCCAGAAGGGCTGTCCTGGGAATCGTACCCATCCCAACGACTGGGACTCTGTCAGCTGCCTGATCTTCTGCTGAGTCCTTTTCTAAAAGATTAATCTCTAGTTTTTAAACAGTAACCTCCTCTCTTCTTTTAAAGATGATGAGTCACTCACATTTTTAAAAAATAAACAAAGTGCTGATGTAAACCCCGGACAGAAGCAGACTTGTCTTAAGTATTCCCATAAGAACTCATTTTTATTTTTGTTTGTGCTCTTGC